GGCGAAGGTCTTGGCTTAACCGCCCGGACCGCGAGGAAGACAACCTCTCTAAAAAATTCCCCGAATCCCGTGTTCTGGTGCGTGGCCAGGGGATGCATGGCTGATGGGAAGTTCCAAGCCGAGGTACCTGCGGAACCCTCGGTTGGGTTAAAAACTTACGCTTGCCCGGGTAATGTCGGATCTCTGCCCGGGTGGACCTTAAGTTCTCCCCCACTCGTGAGATTTATTATGGAGAACATTAATCTAAACTTAAAAAAACGATCGGAAACCCAACAACGACGAAAACAAGCAAGTCAAACGGACAAGGAGACGAAGGGAAAGAAGGAGAACAGGAACAGTGGAGTGGATGGGTCGTCCACTGAGGGGGAGGTGGTGTCGGGAACGCCCATCTCAGTGGGGCTCCCAGAAGTCAGTCTGACTCTGGTCTCTGGGAGTCGAAGAGTATCGGATCGTCTGCGTTCCGGATCCGCCGTTTCGTCGGATGGCGCGGAGGCCATGGAAGCGGAACATCGCAGCGACAGCCGGAAACGCGGACGCTCAGGGGACGAGGAAACCGACACGTCATAAGAGATGATGCCACCAAAGGTGGCAAGCAGCCGTCGAGGGAGGCCACGAAAACCGGCCTCGGTCTCGACCCCGTCAGGCTCCGCCTTCTCGAACGCGGAGTCGTACAAAGGTGTACGAGTGGACGGCGAGGCCGTAGCGGAGGAGGAGATCGCGGATCTCCTGCTCAAGGTTCGGGAGCCGGTGCAGGAGAGGGCGAAAGAGGCGGTGGCCGTCATCCACAAGGTGGCCACCAAGTCTGTAAACCTTAAGGGCTCGTTTGTGAGAGCCCTCAAGGACTCCTCCTCCGCTTTGTCGGAGGTCGTGGAGGGCCTAGTGGGCGATGTCTCTCGCCTACAGTTGGCCAACGAGAGGCTGACGGAGCGGGTGAACGAGCTGAGCGCTCAGTTCGCCCGCTTCCAGGCGAACCTCCCCGAGCGGGAAGCCCCGTCCGCGTCCCAGCCTGCCCCTACCACCAACTCAGGGGTATTTGACGCCCAACTGCGTGAAATTCTCATCGCAGTTGGAAATATGCTGAACGGACGCCTGGCTGGCCTGGAGGCGAGACTGCCCCCTGCGCCGGTTGTGCGCCCCCCACTCGCGTCGGCACAGCAGCCTAAGGCCGCCGCTCCGACCGCGCTCCCCGTGGTGGGAGTCCGCGTCTCTTACGCGACGGCGGCGTCTGCCCCGACTCCATCGGCTCCCCAAAAGCCGAGGAGGGGGGCCAAGGCACTGGCCCAGGCGCCGGCCAAGGCACCCCCCCAGGCGCCGGCCAAGACGGGGCCTAAAACGGCGCCGAGGAGTGGAGTGGCATTCCCTCCGCTCCCCACTCCGACACGCCTGCCGGGCCCCTCCGCACCTGCCCCCTCCAACGAGGGTTGGCAGGAGGCGAGGGGCTCCAAGAAGTCCCGAAGGCGGGCCAGAAGGGCTGCCCAAAAAGCAGCCCAAGCCCAGCCTTCGCCACCGGTGGCAACGGCCTCTAAAAAGAGGCCGCGGAAGCTGCAGCCGCCCAAAACCGCGGCTGTAGTGGTGACCGTGTCCCCGGAAGCGGCTGACGGCCGCCTTTAAAAAGGCCCTGGACAGCCTCGCCAATGATTTTGGGATGGTGGGGATCAGGATGCGCCTCGCCCAGACGGGAGCTCGAGTTCTCGAGTCCCCTGGGGCTGAAGGCGCAAAGACGGCGGACTCGTTTGCTGAGAGGTTGCGGGGTATATTCGCGACTTAATATGTTGGTGCCGAGGGGGGGGGGGGGATCACTATATATGATGTATAATTCTCCCCCAACCGGAGTTTGAGCGACTTCGAGGTTTTCCAAGTCCATTGCGTGGGGTTCCCCCAGAATGGACGCAAGGGGCGAGGCCGTAGAGGAGTGGGCGGCCTCAGTGGGCCTCTGTCTTCTCAACAGAGGCTCTACCAACACGTGCGTGCGACAGCAGGGGGGGTCGATAGTGGACCTTTCGTTCGCTACCCCTGCCCTCGCCGCACGAGTAAGGAACTGGCGTGTCCTGGAAGAGGTTGAGACGCTCTCGGATCATCTCTATATTCGATTTGAGCTCTCCCGGACCCAGGACTCCAGTAGGGGTCACGTGGCGCGGCGTTTATCCCGCTTTCCACGGTGGGCTGTTGCCAGACTGAACGCGGCCATGCCCCGCATTCGAGGTCGTCGGCCGGAGGAAGGAAGGAGGTCTACTGCTGGTCCCAGGAGCTGGCGGACCTCCGTGCGGCCTGTACACGTGCCCGGAGGTTCTACACGCGCAGTCGGCGGCGTCACCGTGGAGACGGTGAGGAGGACCGGCTTCATGAGGAGTACCGACAGGCGCGGAAAACTCTGAAGCTGGCCATTAGCCGCGCCAAGGAAGAAAAGAGAACGGAGATGCTGGAGGGTCTTGATCGTGACCCCTGGGGTCGCCCTTACCGCGCGGCGCGACAGAAGTTCCGCGCGGGCCCCCCCCCCCCCCCCTTACGGAGACTCTCCAGCCCAGCTTCCTGCGACAAGTGGTTGAGGGCCTTTTCCCGCAACGAGCGGAACACACTCCCCCGGCGATGGCCTCCTTGGCCGGGGACGACAGGGATCACGAGGAGGATGATGTTTCGCCCGTTCGGGATTCAGAGGTAGGGGCGGCTGTTTTAGGGATTCGTTCCAAGAACACCGCCCCTGGGCCAGACGGGTTACCGGCCCGAGTGCTGGCCCTAGCCTTCAACCACATGGCAGACCGCCTCGGGGAGGTGTTCGACGCTAGCTTGGTGTCGGGACGTTTCCCTGAGTGCTGGAAGAGCGGGAAGCTGGTCCTATTAAGGAAGCCGGGACGGCCTGCCGATTCGGTCGCGGCCTACAGGCCCATCGTGCTGCTGGACGAGGCGGGTAAATTGTTTGAGAGGGTTCTCTCTGCCCGCATCGTCCGGCACCTCTACGAGGTGGGCCCCGATCTGTCGGACGCCCAATTTGGTTTTCGGGCGGGGCGTTCCACAGTCGACGCTGTTTTGCACCTGAGGGCCGTGACCGAAGAGGCCGTTAGCTGTGGCGGCGTGCTGTTGGCGGTGTCATTGGACATCGCCAACGCATTCAATAGTCTGCCATTCAGCTGCATCAGGGAAGCACTCCACTATCATGGGGTGCCAAAGTACCTACCTAGGCTAGTGGCAGACTATTTAGAGGAGCGTACCGTCGTGTACGAGGACCGAGAAGGTAATTCGAGGTGTCGGCCCATGTCGTGCGGTGTTCCACAGGGGTCTGTTCTTGGACCCCTCTCGTGGAACATAGGGTACAACTGGGCCCTTCGAGCCGATTTCCCCCCCGGGCTGGTTTTAATTTATTGGTTGTGTTGATACTCTGGTGACAGCCCGGGGGGCGAACTTCCAAGAGGCGGCGCGCCTGGCCACAAGGGGAGTCTCCCTGGTGGTCGGGCGCATTGAGGCGCTGGGCTTACGGGTGGCCCTAGATAAGACGGAGGCTCTCTTATTTCATGGGCCCCGTCGTGGTCCACCCCCTGGCGCCTCAATCGTGGTCAACTCGGTCCTCGTACCGGTGCGGGCCCAGATGAAATATCTGGGCCTGATTATCGACGGGAGGTGGCTCTTCGACGAGCACTTCCGACAGCTTGCTCCAAAGCTGATCGGCGCTGCGTCTGCCCTAGGGCGACTTTTGCCCAATTTGGGTGGACCCAGTGTCGCGACAAGACGGCTGTACACGGGGGTTGTCCGGTCAATGGCACTATACGGTGCACTGGTGTGGGCGGCGGCTCTGACCGCCCAGAATAGGGCACGCCTCTGGCGCCCTCAGAGGGTATTGGCGGTCAGAGCCATACGCGGTTACCGCACCGTTTCGACGGAGGTGGCTTGCGCGTTGGCCGGAACTCGCCCGTGGGATTTGGAGGCGGAAGTGCTCGCCGAAGTTTATCTGCGAGTGGCTGACTCCCGCCCGAAGACGTGCGGGAGTGGCGCGAAGCCGCTCGCCGAACCACGATGGCTCGTTGGTCGTTCCGGCTGGAGACTCCACGCGCTGGCTTCGCCGCGGCTCTCCAGCCGGTCATCGCCGAGTGGGCAGGGCGGCAGCACGGGACCCTTACCTTCCGGCTGACGCAGGTGCTTTCCGGGCACGGTTGCTTCGGAAAGTACCTGCACTCGGTCGCTAGGAGGGAACTGAGTCCCGCCTGCCACCACTGCGACTGCAGTGAGGACTCGGCCCAGCACACGCTGGCGGTCTGCCCCGCATGGGCGACGCAGCGCCGGGCCCTCACTGCAGTCATCGCAGTGGATCTCTCGCTACCGACCGTAGTACGCTCCATAGCCGGTAGCGACAGTTGTTTTACCGCGGTCGCAACCTTCTGCGAGGAAGTAATCTCGCAGAAGGAGGCGGCGGAGAAGGCCCGGGAGGACGACCTCCACTCGGACCCGATTTCGCTTTCCTGCGCCTCATGCCACCCTGAGTGTGGCCGCGGGTGGACGGGGTGGGTTTCCCCTCCACCCGCATTAGTTTGGCCAGCCGCGAGGGGGCGGCGTCTGCGTGTGCCGGACGTCGCCTAAAGAGAGGTTAAAATTTTGAGACGGAGCCCGCACCAGGAGCGGGCAGGCGCTAGGAGGGGTCCGGATGTCTTAATTACAGCTGTTCCCGGATCCTTCCTATTACAGGCGCAGAGTGGCACACCGTGTGGTTTTAGTCGGTCCGAGTCCGACACACCACCCGCAAACCCCGGTGGAGTGACGGTCCGAGGGGATTTCCACACGTTAAAAAAAAAAAAAAAAAAAGGTCTTAATAACATTTTATGGGTAAGTAGTATAAGAGTAGAATATTTCCATGGTGTGTATTGTTGTGTGTGAGAGGGTGAGACTAAGTGTTGTCCTGTTGTATTGTATGAGAATTTCGAATAATGTAATGTGAATTTTAAAGTTAGTGAGTACATCGGTCGTATAATAATTAACGATAGATAAGCAATGGAACACACATAACAATATCCTAGTCACTTTTTGGGCAAGTCAGACTCAGACTTAATCATAATGTGCGGAGCTCCTTGTTTTTCACGTAGATATATTTTGCCATTCGTAACCCAGCAGTACCGGTATTGATTACTACTTGCAAAGTCTCTGGCAAGGAAGAATAGCCTTTTCATTTTTGGTGTTAGATTTCCTGATACAAACACTGGTTTAGCCGGCCCACCAAGTCTCAGGTGCTCGGTAGAGAGTTTGTTTGCCTTATTAAATTTCCTTTGCATATAAATAAATTTCTCTTTAAGTACATTAGTGGTAAATTCCACTATTATAGACCTGCTATCAACATCCTTTAAGCGAGTGCGGAAGATATCTCTCACGTCATGAACCTGCACCGGTACATTTATGAGGGAACCAATCCTGGTAACCATTGCAGCAAGAGATTCCTTGGACTCCTGAAGTTTAACTGGTATATTTCTTATTTCCACACATGTAGACATAGCTCCTCGCTCCATTTTTTCAAGATTGTCTTCCAATTTTTGTAGATGCAACAAATTAGTTTCTCTTTCTGTCACAAGTTGTGTCTCCAATTGATTGATTCTATCCTGTAGCGCATCGTAATTCTGTGACAAGAAAGTGACCGTAGATTGAATAGTCACGTTTTGGGCTTTAATCTCCTCAATTGATGTGTAACTCTTCTCAATTTTTTTGTCCTGCTGTTCCTTAAATTCAAGAAACATGGTTTTCATCTCAGACATAAAAACTGATATTTGGTTGTCGTGTTGGGTATCCAAATCCAAACACTTACGTTTATTACGTTGAGTAATGTTAGGAATGTCACATTCCTAACGCTTCTCGCGCTCTTCGCTTGCAATATTCGGCACGGATGAACTATGTTGCAACGGGGCTAACAGCGGCGTAGTGAGCGATAACTTAGTTGTAGCTGTAAGAGGAGGCGATCTATTTATCGGCATATTGCAAGGCGAAGTACCAGGGCGCCTCAGTTGCAGGGAAGAAACAACAAACGTTTATTGTGTGAGGGGTCAACAAAACTGGTCATGTATCGACAGGTTGGTACAAAATTGCTTTCCGTCCACTCAAGAGAGACCCCTTGAGCAAAACAAAAACAAAAAACGGTGCGCTATTGTATTCACACCAATTATGCTTCATTAAGGTGCGTAGAGGACAGCAAGCAAAAGAGTGCACTGATGGTCGACGACTATTAACACAGGCACAAGTTTCTAATGAGGCGAAGAAAAAAGAACTCACTCTTGTGTGTAGGTTCCGAAATGATTTACTTGCGTTGAACTCCACGGATGCACTGTGCGCCTATTATATGCAATCGATTTTATAACACATTTCAATAAATAAATTTAAAATACGGTATTAAGGCACAACAAAGATACACGTCTGATCGCCACAGAGATCCGAAGGGAAGGAATTAAAGCAGCTGTTCTTGCATGAGGACATTGTATTGGTGACCGTAAGCCATCACAATTTCTACGACACCTAAGAAATCTCGCCGTTCCCACTGTGCCTGAAGACGTGTTGCAGTCGTTGTGGACTGGTCGCTTACCACATAGCTTGCAAACAGTTGTAGCTTCGCAGCCTAAGCTGACGTTTGACGATCTCGCCGACTTAGAGACTTAGATCACCTGTTCATCACGTAGCATTGCAAGCAAATCGCCTGCAGTGCCTCAGCCATCAGTTTCACGCTATGAAAAGATTAGCCAAGAGATTAGTGCCTTAACCAAACAAGTTTCTAAACTTACCTCATATGTACACAGGCAGGAGCGTTCCCGTTCACGCAGCGCGTCGCGTAATCGCCAGCCACCACCGGACCACACGGTTTGCGGACGGCTAAAGGTTGTGTATAGTGTTTTAAAGAATATCAGTGAGTTTTTATTGTTTCTTAAACAGAAATATAGTGCTGATTTAGTTTATTACGGCTATTGGTGAGTAAATTTATTTTCTTTCTAAAAGTGGGTAGGAGGTATCCTTTGTTTATATTGATTTTTCTTTGCGTGTTGATTTTTAAACTTGTTCTTTTTGAAATTTTTGTTTTGTGTATCTTTGTTTGGCTATGTCGGTTGTTAGCGAGTTGCCGAATCCCGGCGGTACAAGTGAATTTCTGACACCAACCGGGAAAAGGACATTTGGCGAAGTGTCGCCTGCGGATTTTTAGCCAAAAGGCAGTAGAGGTGGACGCATTAATAATTCGGATTTAAGTGGAAATGTTTCGTCTCTTAACGGTCGTGATAACTGTGGGGAATACAATTACTGCGAGTGAGTCTCACAGGCTACCGAGTATTTGGCAAAAATTAATGAATTAGTTAATGATCAGGGATCTCGGATGAATGTAGGTAATAAAACGGCAATTATGGATATTACTCAACGAATTACCGGTATCGTATCCTTGTTAGCAATAAAATCCTCTAGCAACGAAACGAAGTTAGCGAATTTTGAGCGACAAATGGAGGGTATCGCAACTCAACAAACGAGTTTAACGTACGCAAACAAACTTAAGCTTCGATTACCACCCAAATCTGCTCCGTGCCCGGTACCTACTGAAGCGCGCGTTTCTAGGCCTTGTGTTATTGCCTATCCCACTACGGAACGCTTAGCGGACTATGCGACCTCGTCAGTAACGAAACAAGCTCTCATGAAGGGTATTAAACCAAGCGATAAGGGATTTCAAATTGTAGGCGTTAAAAAAACAAGGCAGGCGTCGTGTTACGTGTAGCTAACGAACGGCAGCTTGAGAAACTGGAATCTGTGGACGCCATTAAATCACTAGGGTTGCGATTAGAAAAACCGAAAGGCCGTAGGCTCCGTATAATTGTAAAAGACGTACCCGGTTCTATGGAAGATCGTGCCTTCCTAACAGCCTTATACCGTCAGAATCTCAAGGACGAATTAAAATTAAATGAGAACGATTTTATTAAGTCAACCAAAATTGTTAGGTATCGTAAACTAGGAAATGGGCGTCAATGGATAGGCTTAGAATTAGAGGCAGCAGTTCGGAAACATCTAGCAAACACAAAAGATAAACTTTATATAGACTGGGCCACATGTAGATTCATAGACGATATAGAAGTAGTTCGTTGCTTAAATTGTAAGCAATTCGGTCATGTATAAAAGTTTTGCACCATTAAAACCCATTAAAACTTGTGCTAATTGCGCCGCCGCACACGAAACTCGAGCTTGTCCAGACAAAGACACACCAGATTTTAAGCCCACGTGCGCACAGTGTAAGCGGTTCAAAAAACCATCTGACCATCGATGCGGCTTACACGACTGTGCCACATACAAATTAAAACTGGAACAAGTAATATTAAATACCAATTACTGAATAGTTTTATTGAGCTTAAAAAAATAAAAAAAAGTTTATAGAGTAACTTACTAACTAATGAATAATATTTCGATAGGCCAGTTAAATCTTCATAACGATAAAATAGCTACATCAGAATTAGACCGTTTAATTTTAGAACAAAAGTTAGACATTGTTCTTATACAAGAACAATATCAGAGCGCTCGCTCAATGTAGTACAGCTTGACTGCCGTTCGCAGGCTGGGATATATGTTGCAAGTTTTAATTTTACGGTAACATCTTTGCGTAATCTTATGACGTCACACTGCGCCGTTGCTGAGATCTCATCCTCTACCTGTAAGGTTTACGTAGTGAGCCGCTATTTTCAATATTCACATCCTATTGATCCTCACTTACATCACTTACGTTACGTCTTGCAGTTCCTCGTGGAACATAAAATTATCATTGGCGCTGATGTCAATGCGTCATCTTCATTATGGTATGGCAAGTTGCATTCAACCGACACGGTTCGACGTTGTGCGGTTGAAGATTTCATTGCGGAAATGAATCTTACTATTCACAATACCCCGATGCACCACCAACTTTTTGCAACTCTTGTAAACTTTCGGGTGACACGATTTTCACTGTCTTTAAACGTTGCATTGCTGAAGGAATATTTCCTCGTGTATAGCGGTGCGGTAATATTCTTATAATACCAAAAAGTGGCGACAAGCCACCGGATGATCCTAAATCCTACCGACCAATCACATTGTTACCATCGTTAGGAAAGCTTTTAGAACGTCTTGTAGTGCCCCGGCTTCTGCCAGGTGGAGTCAAATTTCATGATAGACAATTTGTATTTACGTTGGGTAAATCGACAACTGACGCTGTTGTATTGGTTAGAAAGTTTGTCACAGAGTCAAAATTTCAATACGTGCTGGCTATTTTCTTAGATATATCTGGCGCCTTCGACAACGCATGGTGGCCCATGCTGTTGCTGAAATTAAAATCACGGGGGTGCTTTAAAAAGATTTATTCCCTTATCTCTTCGTACTTTTCACAAGGTACAACTAAACTAAGACTTTGTTATCATTATGTGTCGAAGGCGCTTACAATGGGATGTCCTCAGGGATCGGTGCTAGGTCCATACTTGTGGAATATCGGCTTCGACGATTTTCTTGCGATACCAATACCATCCGGATGTACTCTGAACGCGTATGCTGATGACGGCTTATTACTGGTGGAATCTGATACTAGGGCGGGGCTTGAGAGAATAGCCAATAGATGTTTGAACTTGATATCTCAATGGGGTGAACGTAATCGCTTAACTTTTACACCCAACAAAACCTTCCAGCTACTTTTAAAAGGTAACCTCAAATCACCGCCGAGCATTAGATTTGACAATGTTACTGTAAAAAATAAAACCTCAGTGTGTTATCTAGGATTAGTTTTAGAAAGAAACTTCTTATTTATCGAATATATTAAAATAGTTAATTAAAAGTCTAAAAAGAGTTTCTGTGCATTGACAAGGATATCAACTGCGACATGGGGTCTATCATTTAATACATTAAAGATCATATACGGAGCTACTTATTTAGGTTCTATGTGCTATGGTGCACCTGTATGGGCTGATAGGGCGACCGTAGGCGCTGTCTGTCGCAAAACTGTTACAAGGCCAACGACTTGCACTGATATTCTTGTGTAAGGCATATAGGACGGTTAGCACTGAGGCTTTGCCGGTGTTGGCGGGTGTGCTTCCGGTCGATCTCGAGGTGCAGAGACGTGCAGCCATGTACTATTCAAGACAAAACATGAAATGCGATTTTTTGGGCGCGCGGGATCGCGGTAAAATTACAAGACTGCTTCAACAGCAGCCCGATGTCTATAATGACCTCATGGACGAATGGCAGTAACGCTTGGACGAATCATCCAAGGGGCGCCATCTTTACCAATTCTTTTCATCTGTTCGCGAACGGTTGTCGAGGACATGGCTTGAGGTGGATCACTGTGTCGCTCAATTTCTTACGGGTCATGGTAACTTTAAGAGCAAGTTGTATTCATTTAAATTAGTCGAGTCACCATTGTGTCAATGCTCAACACCAAACTCTCACTATGAACAATTTGCTCATCATATCCTCTGGGAATGTAGTCTTTGGTATAATGAACGTAATATAATGCTGAATAGCTTGCAGGTGACATCTGGGGCGGTATACTATGGGGATCTTGTGTTAACTAGGGTGAATTTCCGTGCGTTTAGGCGATTCTGCCATACATATTATAGAAATCAAATATAGCTCACGTAGGACCCGTAATATTTTGTGGCCGTGGTGCTTCCCTGTTTAAAAGGGTGTATGCCTATTTTGCTTCATTTTGTCTCCCGCTTTGCTAAGGAGGGAAGTGGATTTACTGTATTTCCAACTCCTAAAATTTTCTTCTGATTAATTTCGTTGCGGGTTCCAAGACAGTTTAATTTCTTCCTGGGACTTCCCGAGTGTCATAACTCGGTGTGTTCGTGGGTCACTGCTGTGGATCCTGGTGTACAGGAGTTACAGTGGTGGGCGTGTGGGTGGAATTAGTCCCATTAAAGTCCATCACATAAAGACTACTCCAGGCCCTCCTGTTGCCTGTCGACCTCGCCGACTAGATCCCGCGCGACAGAAAGCTGCGAAAAAAGAGTTTGACCAGATGTTGTTAAATGGAACAGCTAGGCGTTCAGATAGCCCATGATCCTCGCCGCTACACCTGGTGAAGAAGAAAGACGATGGGTGGAGACCATGTGGTGATTATAGAGCGCTTAACGCCAGAACCATCCCAGACCGATATCCCGTACGACACATCCAGGATTTCGTACATCAATTGTCAGGTTGTACTATATTCTCCAAGATAGATTTAATTAAAGCTTATAATCAACTTCCAGTACATCCTGATGACGTGGAGAAGACAGCAATCACCACTCCGTTCGGGCTGTATGAATTTCGAGTCATGACGTTTGGACTACGCAACGCAGCACAGACTTTTCAGCGTTTTGTGGACGAAGTCTTGCATGGGCTGGAGGATTTTGCATACGGGTACTGTGAAGACATCGTCCTATTTTCATCCTCGAAGGAAAATCACAAGGACCATCTCCGCCAAGTTTTTATCCGTTTAGAGAAGTATGGCCTTCTTATTAACTCTGACAAATGTGTTTTAGGTAAGTCTGAGGTTATATTTCTAGGCTATAAAGTATCTGCAGCTGGCTCCAAGCCCTTGGAGTCAAAAGTCCAGGCCATTGTAGATTTTCCAAGGCCCAGGACGGTGAAAGAACTGAGAAGGTTCTTGGGTATGCTTAATTTTTACCGCCGATTTATACCGAATGCAGCGGACATACAAGTCCCGTTAAACGCACTTCTGGTAGGTGCTAATGTAAAAGGTTCACGTCCAATACAGGTGACACAAGAAATTACGCATGCTTTCGAAGAGTGTAAGAAATCACTGGCAAGTTCTATACTATTAGCACACCCTCGTTCTGACACGGAGCTGAGTATTATTACGGATGCCTCCAATGTAGCTATGGGCACTGTATTGCAGCAGCGAATTGGTAACATATGGGAACCACTAGGATTTTTCTTCAAAAAACTAAGTGCTGCACAAACGAACTATAGCCCATACGACAGGGAGCTACCAGCAATGTACGAAGCGGTGAAATATTTTAGATTTATGGTCAAGGCTCGTCACTTCTGCATCTTCACTGACCTTAAACCCTTAACACATGCTTTCAAACTGTCAAAGAAAAAAACTTCACCCAGACAATTCAGACATTTAGAATATATATCTCAATTTACCACCGACATAAGATACATACCTGGCAATCAGAACGTTGTCGAAGACACTCTATCAAGAGTCGAAGAAATCACACATGGAATTGACTACAAAGAGCTTGCACGGTCTCAGACTACTGATCCTGAGCTGCAAGATCTAATTTTGAAAGGAAACTCACTTAGATTAGAGAAGGTCAGAATGCCAAATACGAACATTGATGTGTACTGTGATACTTCAACGCAGCCTCCTCGACCTTACGTTACACCCGAATTTCGACGACAAGTTTTTAACACGCTACACAACCTGAGTCATACAGGCCACACCGCTACTGTGCGGTCATACTTCTGCTCCTCTATCCTACACCTTCATCGAGGTTTTCCCACATCCACCTCGATTTAATCGGCCTTATGCCAAGTTCTTCTGATTACAGGTACTGCCTTACAGTTGTGGATAGGTACACACGATGGCCCGAAGCTTACCCTATCAGAGACATCACTGCGGAGACGTGTACAGCAGCCCTAGTATCCGGCTGGATGGCCCGGTTTGGTTGTCCACTCAAGATAACCTCCGCCCGGGGTCGTCAGTTCGAGTCCGAACTATTTCGATCTATTGCAGCTGTAATTGGCGCGAAACATTATCGCACGACCGCCTATCAGCCAGCCGCAAACGGAATGGTTGAGCGTTTGCACAGAAAATTGAAGACTGCCATAATGTGTCACGCTACGCGACAATGGACAGAGGTTCTTCCTTTATTACTGCTGGGTTTACGCAGTGCATGGAAGCCAGACCTCCAGGCGTCCCAAGCAGAGCTAGTGCACGGTGAGCCACTGCGTTTACCTGGCCAGTTTATAGCTCCAAACGACGACCACAAGGCAGAAGACTTCACGAATTTTTCAACACGTTGACGCAGTCGCATGGCACAACGCACACCGAAACCTGCGTCTTGGTACAGGAAAGGTCCCTTCTACATTCCTCACAACTTTTGTGATTCGTCACACCTATTTCTACGTTAGGATTTTGTCCGAAAACCATTGGAACCACCGTACGCTGGACCTTATAGGGTGGTAGAACAAAATGCTAAATACTACAAGATCGACGTGCATGGCAAGGACGTCACTGTTAGTATAGATCGCCTGAAACCTACATATATCACCCAAGAAACAACGCTATCAACATCAACACCAGTGGTCTCTGGTCACAAGGAGAAGACGACTAGGAGCGGAAGACGTGACCACTTCCCAGACTATTACCGCCCAAGTAGCGGTCTCACCTCGGGAGTACTGTAGCGGGAAGATCGAACGACCCTTGCTTGGCACCGCAGTGGTAACACCGCGCCCCGCGCGCCCGCTGTGACGCACGATGCGCAGGCGCAGGCCAGCCGTCCTCGGATCGCTAACGCTCGGTCGACAGCGACAGTAACAAACTGATATTGACGCGGAACGTACGCATGTTGTTTACGAATTAAACGCTCTCAACTTTACGAACGTGTATCATTATTCTGCGCCCTAAAGTTACCACAGGTATAACACCTTTGACAGGGGAAGCAATTGAACTCGCTAAATAAACACCATCTTGTATTTCTGCCGAACATATTACGCATTCTTTTTTAAACTGTGTCTGTATATAGTGACTAGACTCGCTTCTAGCCGAAACTTCTAATGAAGTAATATTTTTGTTTGTAATTGGTAAACTAATAACTCTATTTAAACTATCACGCAACGTCAAAATATTTGTATCAAAATTTAAAACAGATTTAAATCTTCTTAAAAAATAACGACCGATTATACCGTTTGACGTAATAGGCAGTGTATTTAAAACATAAAACTTATGGCTTGTAATGAAATCATCACTACGCAATTGTACATACACATATCCTGCTGCACGGACGGAAAACCGCACGCCGTCTCGGGTACTAATAGCCGGGGAACCAGGTATACCCTAGAAAGGAAGTCCCTGGTGCGGACTTTGCCCCCCCTAAACCATTTATAACAATGTCCTCCATATGCACTGCAAGATTTTGCTCTGTCACGTAATTATATTTAATTGCACTTAAGGGTGCACCTGAATCAACTAAAAACGAAAATAATGTACCATTAACTGAAAAATATGTAAAACAGTCACTATCGTATGATAAAATAAAATGTTCCTCACTATTGGCCACAAAAAAAAATTTTTCAGTCACATTCGATTGTGAACTCTGTGGTTCTGTATTGGGCAATGAATTAAAAATATAATCCTTATTTATAACGTTTACATTCGGATGCTGGCGCATCCTTTGGTTTCCCCTATTGTATGACTTACCTTTGTATTGCTGCCCGCCGAAGGAACGCCCTCGGGTCGGTGCCCCACGGGCTGTATGTTGCTGATACCATCCTCGCTGATATCCTCGATAACTTCTTTCTTGTCCCCTATATGAAGAGGGAGAGGTGTATCCTCCTCGGTTTCCTTTAAAATTATATTTTTGACCTCTGTTATTAAAATAAAAAGTTTTATGCATACCCATAATTTCACCCGAACCAGATCCTGTGGTGACTTCCTCATCCAGGGCTGCTTGAATTGCGTCCGTCAACGTGCTAAAATTCCTCGCTGCAATAATTGTGCTGAGCCTCCGATTTCGCAAGCCGTCAGCGAATTTTTGAATAGCTATATTTTCATTCAATGGCTTTAAAATTTTATAATTTTCGGAATTGCCATTTGCTTGCGAAATTGTAAGGTCCACAAATAACTCTGATAATTGTTTGCCAAAATCTGAAATGGATAAATTATTTTTTATTTTTTCTAATTGGCTCGAAATCGCAGTTGATGCCTTACGAGGTAATAATACTTTTCTCATATCCGTAATTAAATAATTTCCACTTGGATAACTCGTATTCAATCTTAATTTTGCAGCTTGAGACAATCTACTTTTTAAGACAAAATTAATTAAATTCTGTTTACATGTATCTTTTTCCAATAAATAGTTATAATAATCTATATTGTCGATTAATTGTTTCGTATTAGCCTCTGTATCTGTCATACAGGGTAATAAGCTCAAGGCCGTCTTTAGATCAAAAGTACTCATTATTACAATATCTTCAGAACTCGACTTAACACTTTGACATAAATCTACAATTTCGTTATATAACGTTAAAATTTGTTTACAAAAAGTATGCACAATTGGATCATCACCGTCAGATTTTCTTAATTTTAAATTATATTCTAAATGAACCAGCATATATATATATATTGCCCATAAACTATATTCGCTTCACTTAATTTGCTTATTAAAATATTACCTTGGGCCTTATATTCTCTTTGGGCCTATTTTTGTTAAATAAGTTCTGATTTCTTTTAATTCATTATATAACGACTGTAAAGCAATAGCCATAACTTACCTCATACACGATGATGATGCATTACATTTATTTGATTAAATATCTAAATTATGTCATGCTAGGATATGCTATGTATTATTATTATCACTAAAGTCCACTAAATAATATGTCCATTATATATTTTTATATATTGTTCCACAAGTTATATGTTATACAAGAGCCGTTCCGTGTTTTAATTCCATGCGCCGTACTATTTAGTAACTAAAAATGATTATAACGCACTTTAACTGCTGAGCACTCATCGACACCGCGCACATGATATATTCACTATACAACACCTGTATAAGGTTTATTCGGGGCCTGTGCTTCTTTATCAAAACGCCCGGAAATAGCCGCTGGTCGACGAAAACAGGAATCCCTTAGTACAGCTCTATTTATTTGGCCAGGTATCCATTGCATATGACACCTCTTGTACAGACTATATGCAAAATACACCATCCCAAGAGAAACGCATATCACTATAATTATTAATAATATTTTCGTGGTTGACATATGCTGTGTTATTTCAGTAGCGGTAGCCTGGTTAACACCTCCTGCAGCAGTTTGAGCGATGATTAATTCCTGAGATTTTTGGTTACCCATTGTGAACCTTCAAAACTGTACCACACAAGAGTCACAGCGTCTAACTCGTAAAACAAAACGATTTGTTCTAATTGCGCCATAGTCACATTTATTTTTTTCTCAGTCCCGAAACAGAAATCATTCTTATTATCTGTTTGAATAAAAGTTCCACTCCTTTTATGAACGCACTGTATCAAATAACCGAGTCGCGCCGCTGGCGGTTGACCGTTTAGGCAGGGTCGCCATGTACGGGATGTATTTGGAGACACATTGAAGCAACCTCGTTGTATCAAATCTCGAGTATGACTCCTCATTTATTATAATAATTATTGTTTAAATAAGATAGAAATAGGCATCGTATACACTACAAGCAGATCAGGCTGGGTATGGATTAAGAAAATGGTTACAGAACACCCTGGGGGTAAATTATGCTGTGACATCTGTGATAAAGCCTGATGCTCCATTGGCAGAAGTCTTAAGCTATAATATTAGTATGTATAAGGACTTTACTAAACGTGACTATGTTATAATTTTAGACTGTTCTAATGATAAAAATTCCTTAAATTTTCAGTCGTTTTTATACTATACTTTATGTCAATTGAGAAACACTAATGTTATAGTGTGCAAAGTCTATAAAAATAGGTATTTAAATCTTAATAAACTTAATGAGCTTAGCCAGCTGGTGTGTAGTAATTGTGAGGGCGCAACTTTTTGCTTCCTTTTTTTTTTTTTATCTTTTTTTTTTTGAAAAAGACAACTGAAAAAGAAAAATACTTACCTCAATAAAAAATAAGCGTTCATGTGGTTTTGATGAAATTCCCATTGGTATGAATGATTAAAGAACATGCTGAACTTATTTTTTTTTATAGGGACTAATCCCACCCACACGCCCACCACTTTAACTCCTGTACACCAGGATCCACAGCAGTGACCCACGAACACACCGAGTTATGACACTGGGGAAGTCCCAGGAAGAAATTAAACTTGGAACGAAATTAATCACAAGAAAATTGGAGGAGTCCAACTCCTCAATACAGTAAATCCACTTCCCTCCTTAGATTTCTATAATATGTATTGGAGAATCGCCTAAACGCACGGAAATTCACCCTAGTTGACACAAGATCCCCATAGTATACCGCCCCAGATGTCACCTGCAAGCTATTCAGTTACGTTCATCATACCAAAGAGTACATTCCCAGAGGATATGATGAGCAGACTGTTCATAGTGAGAGTTAGGTGTTGAGCATTGACACAATGGCGACTCGACAAATTTAAATGAATACAGCTTGCTCTTAAAGTTGCCATGACCCGTAGAAAATTGAGCGACACAGTGATCCACCTCAAGCCATATCCTCGACAACCGTTCGCGAACAGATGGAAAGAATTGGTAAAGATGGCGCTCTTTGGATGATTCGTCCCCGCGTTGTTGCCATTCGTCTATGATGTCATTATAGACATCGGACTGCTGTTGAAGCAATCTTTTAATTTTACCACGATCGCAAAAAATCGCATTCCATGTTTTGTTGTCTTAAATAGTACATGGCTGCACGTCTCTGCACCTAGAGATCGACCGGAAGCACACCCGCCAACACCGGCAAAGCCTCAGTGCTAACCGTCCTATATGCCTTGCACAAGAATATTAGTGCAAGTCGTTGGCCTTCTAACAGTTTGCGACGGACAGCGCCTACGGTTGCCCTATCGGCCCATACAGGTGCACCATAGCACATAGAACCTAAATAAGTAGCTCCGTATAATATATGATCTTTAATGTATTAAACTGGATGGCGTAGTGGTTTGTGTAACGGACTGCTATTCCAAAGGTCGCGGGTTCGATTCCCGCTTAAGTCAAACATTTGTGTGCATGAACATTTGATGTTTGATTTGGTCTGGGTGTTTCTATGTATAATATGTACTCGTATGTATGTATTTATAACAGTTGTCTAGTACCCATAGTACAAGCTCTGCTTAGTTTGGGATTAGATGGCGTTGTGTGTATGTGGTAGAATATATTATATTATATTATTATTAAATGATAGACCCCATATCGCAGTTGATATCCTTGTCAATGCACAGAAACTCTTTTTAGACTTTTCATTAACTATTTTAATATGTTCGATAAATGAAAAGTTTTTTTCTAAAACTAATCCTAAATAACACACTGAGGTTTTATTTTTTACAGTGACATTTTCAAATCTAATGCTCGGCGGTGGTTTGAGGTTACCTTTTAAAAGTAGCTGGAAGGTTTTGTTGGGTGCAAAAGTTAAGCGATTACGTTCACCCCATTGAGATATCAAGTTCAAACATCTATTGGCTAGTCTCTCAAGCCCCGCCCTAGTATCAGATTAAGCCGTCATTAGCATACGCGTTCAGAGTACATCCGGATGGTATTGGTATCGCAAGAAAATCGTCGAAGCCTATATTCCACAAGTATGGACCTAGCACCGATCCCTGAGGACATCCCATTGTAAGCGCCTTCGACACAGAATGATGACCAATTCTTAGTTTAGTTGTACCTTGTGAAAAGTACGAAGAGATAAGGGAATAAATCTTTTTAAAGCACCCCCGTGATTTTAATTTCAGCAACAGCATGGGCCACCATGCGTTGTCGAAGGCACCAGATTTATCTAAGAAAATAGCCAGCACGTATTGAAATTTTGACTCTGTGACAAACTTTCTAAGCAATATAACAGCGTCAGTTGTCGATTTACCCAACGTAAATCCAAATTGTCTATCATGAAATTTGACTGCACCTGGCAGAAGCCGGGGCACTACAAGACGTTCTAAAAGCTTTCCTAACGATGGTAATAATGTGATTGGTCGGTAGGATTTAGGATCATCCGGTGGCTTGTCGCCACTTTTTGGTATCATACGAATATTACCGCACCGCCATATACGAGGAAATATTCCTTCAGCAATGCAAAGTTTAAAGACAGTGAAAATCGTGTTTCGATCGAAAGTTTACAAGCTTCTTTTATCATTTTATTAGATATTTTATCATCGCCCGAAGCCTTGTTTAGCCGCAAGGATCTAATGATACCGAGAAATTCGTCTGAAGATGGTAAATCAGACATTGGAGACAGTGGTGGTTCGAGGGCCCACTGCCTGATCTGTCGGTAATGATTAGTGTCGCTTTCCGGCCGATTGTCAGGTGTGAGTGATTCTTAAAGATATTCTGCTGTTTCTCTTACTCCTGTGGTATATCTGTTATTAATTTTGATGTTCTATCGAGTTTATCAACAAGTTTCTGAATTAAGTTTCCCTTGGATTTTTCCACAGCAGCTCTGTAGTGGGACCTGGCAACTCTAAGAGCAATGAGAGCATTATTGTACAAATCTCCTGTTACGTTATGTTTTTAGTAGTGTTTAATTTTCTTAGCTTTCCGGTAGCTTCTACGTAGTTCGGCTAATCTATCATTCCACCAATCACATCTACGAGTGTTAGTGATAGATCCGCGACCAATAGGTACATCAGCGCAGTATGTGAAAGTTTCTGATAGTATTTCTGCGCTTCCCTCAGCTGATAAACTACTGCGACTGAAGTCTTTGGTATGAGTTGCAAAGAGTGAACCAAATAAAGCCCAGTTCGCACCTTTAGTTTTAAATCTAAAATTATAGGGAGCCCTTTGTGGATCCTGAGCAACCCTTGGTATGAATTCGGACACAATCAAGAGGTGATCACTACAGGATGCGTCCGGGAGGACACGCCATCCGGATATCGAGACGTCGCCGCGCGTAAGCGTCACGTCAATAGAAGACTCATCCATTGGGTTGCAAAAAGTTTGGCTTGCATGCTGAACTATTAGCCTTACCTTTATGTAGTTTTTTTAACAGATGCATAGATGAATCGGTATTTCCCAAACAACTTAAAGTAGCTAAAATTGTTCCCATCTATAAAAAAGGGTTGTAAAACAGAACCAAAAAATTCTAGGCCGATCTCTTTACGCTTTCAAAGTTGTTTGAAAAAGTTTTAAAGAGTCGTTTACTGTCTCATTTAAATCAAAATAAAGTTATAAATATTAGACAATTTGGGTATCAGAAAGGCGTTGGTACTGCGGATGCCATTTACACTTTATTGAATAATAATCGTTTATTTCTCACCAAAACTAAAATGCATACAATGAAAATACGATTACGCTATAACATTTGACAATTTCAGTAGTGGATCGCTGGTGCCTGAGGTAGGTATAAAAACCTGTGTTACAGGACACCAGGTCCCCACTCGGACCTCGTCTTGACATTTCAGAATACCTTAGTGAGGTGGTTACAATATAGTTGTGCAAGAGTACAAAATTTAATAAGAAAAAAAAAAAAAAAAAGAAACGAGCGTTAGTAGTAATAATTGTAACATTAACAAAAACAGGGTGTCTGTGTGTGTGTGTGTGTGTGTGTGTGTGTATGTATGTGGGTGTGTGTGTGCGTGTGTGTGTGTGTATCTGTCTGTATATCTCTGTGTGTGTGTGTTTATGTATGTTTGTGTGTGTAGTGGGATTGGAGTTGTGAAGGAGTATATGCGCTATGTCTGCTAGCCCTACGACATGGTCTTGGGATCGGATCAGTCATATGACATATCCATGACTGTAGGATCATTAATGGGTCCTCCGTCTCTTGATATGATTGCTTTAAGAGCTATTCTGAGATGATGGCTTTACATTGGTACGTATTAAGACTATGTAGGGACAAAATTTTGTGCAACTTTTTATACAAGTAGGGCCCTAAAAAAATTAAGAATCTAAATGAACTTTTAACATGCAATGATACGACCTCCAAACGATTATGGCGATTATTATAAGAGGTGTAATAAGTTTGAGAGTGCTGTCTGAGAACGTTAGCTTTCACAAACAGTTGCCTTACTGTGAGAACTTGCCAAATTTCATAAAGCCTTTTAGTTGGGTACAACCGAGGCTTGAAACGGCAAACCTTTAACACAGCTCTTTGGGCACGCTCAATCTGCAAGGCGTGAGATTTAGCTGCACCCCCCTATGTGGTAATGCAATAATTTAAGATGGATTGACATAGACCTGTATAGACCATTTTCAATACATGAGCATCAGCAGAGTGTCGAAGTTCTTTAAACATATAGATAAGTTTGCGTACTCTACTTG